TTCCTGCTGTGGAAAATGTTAATTTTTATTGCCTTATAAAACAATAGTTCCTTTGAAGATTACAGCCTCTTTCACAATGGAAAACACAGACAATGGGATTTGCTATTTAATTTTTTTTAATTGAGTACTGCAAAAATAACTCAAAAGATAAATAAATGTTACTGTGATGATCTATGTCCAGACATTAAGAATTTTCTCTCTCTACATTGTTTTATTCACAATGGCCTTCAAATCACAGGAGACAGTGATCCCAGTTCATTTCCTCTCTTTTCAGCCCATGTTGCTGGATTTCTGAATCAGCGTTCACCCTGTCCTCCCCCCAAACCGTCCTCTCCTCCTGCATAAATCAAGTCCAGTCATTGTTCACATAGAGCGGATTTTTCTCTTCTCTGTGAAGAGGACACGTTTTTTTGCTATAGGGGAAAAGAAGAATCTGTTAAGAAGCCTGAAGTGTTAAGATGCAATTCAACAAGCCTCCAGCCCTTTCTCCTGGCTGCTTTTGCTGCTTAAATGAGCATGGAGCAACTGACTGGCACAGCGCTGCTGTTAACCAGCTCTTGAAGGAGTTTAGGAGTGCTTTCACTTTACCACATGCAATTTTTAGCTCCTAAGAGGTCCATTTTACTTCTGTGAAAATAAGTATCAGGATTTGAGTGGCTGAAAACATTCAACAGCTGCTCTGTGTGACTATTCTGAGTCACAGCTGCTCGATGTAGGGACAGAAATAGGTTCTTACTGCTTTCTACTACTCTTCAGCTTCAGAGCCCAAACAATTACAGATGGTGAGCTGGATCTAGTCGGTCTCACAGACTGACTGAAAAGTTGAGCGTCCTGGGGATCTCTCAGTGAGGCACAAACTGACCCTGCCTCCAATGCCTGACGCAGATGTTTACCGTAAAGTCAGTTCAGCTACAGGTTAAGCAAAGTCAATGCATTACTGGGGAAAAAAAAAAATCAAAGCAAAGCTTCACAATGCTGTTTGAAAAGCACTGCTGTTGTGATTGAACTTCACTATATGAATTCCTTTGAAAGCAACGCAAGAGCAATCCACACAGGAACAAAATCTCTTCTTCCACGTACAAGTTTCGCTTTAAGAAATACTGCAGCTTAGCAACACATTCTGTTGCTGCGGTTAGCAGGTAGTGAAACTTGGGCACTACTGCCACTGCTTCACCAAAAAGCTTCGTTCTGTGGAGGTCCCAGGTTTTTGAGAAGTACAAAACATAAGGTGAAAATGCATGCCAAGTGAAAATGCTTCTTAACATATTCCTGATGTGAGTTGGTATCTAGACTCAAATTTACTTCGCTTCACACATGCAGCACTTTCTCACATCAGTTTCTCACTTGTGTTCTACTACAGGCTACAAAGATCAGAGTTTTTTTCTTAATTACTTCCAATTTCATACTTTAACAACCTACGACATGTTCTGTAACAGAAGTGCTACTTAGCCCGAGCTCTCCACTCTTTTCACATTTCCTACAAGATGTGAAGTTTCTGGAAGATCACTTTGCACAATATTTCAATGCAGTAATTTAACATTTTCTTATTGATGAAAATAATCCCAGTGATCTCCGATTCCCTTTCTGTACGGAATTCAGGAGAGCCACAACCTCTGTCAGCCCGAGTGCTCTAATGAGACCAGGCTGTTTCTCTGGTAGTTTCTCCCACCTGCCATAAAGCTCCTGTACTGTTAGATCTGAGTATGAAAAGGTTAGTTATCTAACATAAAATCATAAGAAAAAATAAGCTTGAACTATGGAACTACTGGCCATGCATTATGTTACCTACTTATTAGAGCTGCTTCATACATTTCTTTATGCTATGGATTAAATAAGACTTTTTTGCATTAATTCCTCCATGCTATTTCTGCCATGGTCTGGTTTAAATTCTGAATTTCTAATGTTAACTACAGACTGGTTCCTCCCCCAGAAACTTGAGCTCTTAAGTCACCTTTCAAAAAACTTGGTGTGCAAAAGGTATCTTGGCAAGTGCTCTAACCCAAGAGATCAGGTTCTTAAACTGAAAAAATCTGCAAGGGCCAGAGGAACATAAAAGAACCCACAAACTGTCATCTGGACAGTGGTGTCATTTGTGGAGGAGAAAGAACTTGTGTTTATTTATTTAAAAGAAAAAGTCCATTTTATAAGTGATGGTTAAAATTTATTGTCTAGAGCGTTCAAGGCAGCTTAACAGAACACTTCTACTCATGCATACTTCGTGACTGCTTGTTGGACGTAGCACCGTCTAGCAAACCACACAAAGAAACAGAATGAAAGAACTCCTGTGTCACTTGGCTTTGCCACTGACATGTGGCACGGCTGTCATCAGACTCTGATGTGTTGGGCAAGTCATTACTTTGTTTCAGTGCCACAATCAGTAAAATGAGGGCAACGTTTACTTCCCACTGGAATGTCATGAAGAACAGCAACTGTACAGTCATCTGAGTATGAAACGTTATGACATATTCTCCTTAGATGGGAAAAATCCTGTTATATTCTAATCTGTTGCCCCACAGAGTCAGAGGAGCTTAGACAAAGCAGGCTGACTTCTTCCCAAAGCTCTTACCAATGGGATCGTATCGCAGCAGGACCAGTTTCTCCTGCAGCCGGAGCCTCCTGATGTTGAAACAGTAGCCCGTCTCGGCTGCGCTTTTCATCCTCACCAGAATGTATCTAGAGTCACAAGGAATGTCTCAGTGTCAGTGCACGGGGGCACTGTCAAATGGGCAAGCTTTTAGCATAAACAACTTGGCACAATCACTCTCACCTAAGATAATTAATTTTGACTTCATGGATGTTCTGGATGGGAGCTTCAATACCATTGTCAATGCTGAACTTTTAACACAGACAAAGAGCCCACTATAAATTCCAGCGTCAAGTTTAACTAAATAACTCCTAGACAGAATATAAGCCCAGAGAGAAGTAGCACCTCCACAAAACAGTAAGGGGGGAGGCAGAAAAACAGGAAAGGAAAAAAGGAGGGGGGAAAAAAAATCAACACATAATTGAGTCACTATGGCTTAAAAGATAATGGCAAGAGAGGAAGGATGATGGTAGTTAAAGAGGTTTGGGGTGTAGATAACACTGTATCACAGACTATCACTTCCACATGCAGAGAGGAACCAGAGCAGATAGGATGGAAGAAGCAGCATGCAAAAAGAGAAGCAGGGCCCCTTGGCACCATCCATCCCACTAGAGATACAAGGCTTGTCGTTCACCTGGCCGCAGGAACCCCCTTCCCCACTGGGGGGCTCTCGGTTCGTGGGGCGGACTGGCAGCAGCGGCCGTGTCCCTGGGAGCAGGGCAAGCCAGGAGACGGAGAAAGCCGCCACTATGCCCGCCACCCTGGAAGCATTCCAAGATCTGCACAACTTCCCAGAAACAGGGCATTTTCTGAAGTTTCAAAAGGTCAAACCATTTAACCAGTCTGTAAATTGTGTCCTCTTCTCTTCCACTGCAATAAAGAGATGGATACATCTCTGCACGTGGACATTCATTTTCCTGGATTTTCCTGCTTCTAATACAAAATGGTCTGAGTTTACCTTGAAGATACACCCATTCTTCCTCACTTGTGCAGCTCTGACCGGTGTACTTCCTTGAGCTCTCCCTTTTCAGCTCTGCAATCTAATGTACCATGAGTTCAAAATAAACAGAAAAATGCTGGATTCCCTCAGACCAACTGACCAAGCACAGTCTAGGGATTATCCCCAGTTACTGTCCTCTCCTGTACACTATTGCAGGTGTGATGTGTGGCACCAGTAACCACACAGACCCCTTCCCCTATACCTCACCCACTTCCTCAAAGCCTCTGTGCAGTTTCCCCTTTCTGGGGGAATCAGTGGTATCAGTAAGACCAGGCCTTGAAATTCTTGTGCACCGTGTATCTGAGGCCAAGCCCTTGCTGAACAATACACCTTGTTCAGAAAGCTGGCTGCCCGATGAAGAGACGTAACTAGGAGCAGAGGCAGAAAAGAACAGTGGAAAGCTATTGGGACACAGGGAGCAAACCCAAGGGGAGCACAGAAGGATAAATAGTATAAGGAGATAGCATATTCCTGGAGTATATATGGGACTATGCAAAGAACAGAGAAAGAACATCAGGAGAAAA